ACTTTGCCATTTAAGCTTTACACACATACACACACACACACATACATATATATATATATATGTATATATATATATATATATATTAGTGAATATGCATAATATCCCACATCGATAGCACGACTCGTGCAAACACGCAATCCTATCCGGATCTATCTATCTATCTATCTATCTATCTATAGATAGATAGATAGATAGATGAATAGATAGATAGATAGATAGATAGATAGATAGGCAGGCAGGCAGGGAGGGAGGGAGGGAAGGAAGGAGGGTGGAGTAATTGATAGCGGCTTGGATTGAGGTATCGGAGAGCCGAGTTCGAATTCCAATCGAATCGATTACTTTCACTTACGTGCTAATACCCTTGGGAAAGGTGTGAATCCTCTTCTTCTCCCACCAGCTATGGGTAAATAGCAGGACAGACTGGGTTCTATAGCCTTGGATGGCAACAGGTCTAGGAGAAGGACAACTCTGAATTCAAAACCTGCGGAGGGTCGTTTGGGCCAGGTCTCTGTATTTAGCCCTTCAAAAAGTGTGGATGGTCTTGCACGAAACCTTCATCACTATAATCAAATGTCATGTGCTGTTGTCGGTTTCCTGGGAACTGATCTGCTTGAACCCCGTTCGTCGAATTCGACGGGAGAGTCGTATATATATATATATATATATATATATATATATATATATATATATATCAAACAACAATATATATAGGGTGCGGTGGATAAATTGTCATCTAAATTACACAAAAAAGAAAATAACATTCATTTTAACAGACATCATTACTAAAATTCCACAAAAATATCTTGAAATACGAAAGAGAACATTTATTCAATAAATTCGCTCTTGGCATCAGTACGACTTTGGAATATCCTGCAACTCTTCAGGACGGTCACCATGATTAAGTTAGCGAATGCAGCTTTGTCTTCAGTTTATCTTTGCTGCTACAAGGAATTTTGTTGGTCTCTCGTTCAACTGAGTCCCACACATAATTATCTTGGTGGCTGAATGTAAGGGGTGATCTCGTCGCAGAAATTGTCTGACAAACATGACTGGGTGCTCTCGCTTGTGTGACATGGTGCAGAGTCCTGTTGCCAGATATAGTGTCTTCCAGTAGCCACCCTCTTGACTCAGGGCAGCATTACCTTCTCAAGGCACATGATGTAGGCCTCGGTGTTGAGTCTGAGGCCCTCAACAACAAATTCGGGAGTTCTTTTCTTATCATAATGATCAGAGTGAGTTCTCCAAGCTGCTGCACCTTCGTAATCACCATGTTATCTATCCAACTCTTTCCGAATCCTCTACATTGTCCTCAGATTTACGCCCAAACACTGAAATGTTCGTATTGGAGCTTTCGTCTGTACACCCGTTTCCAAATTTCTGGTGGAGTTAATACATTTGAAATACAACGGAAGTGTCCAATAGATTTCGTAATTGATCCCTGGTAGTTAAACTGTTACGGATAGAGAACAATAAAAGATCAGGAATTAAGGAGAGAGAAGACAAAGATTGACAATGCATTTAAATTTTGAAGATCAAAGTTGACTGGGAAGGAAGAAGCCGGAAAAGAGTTCCACAAGGGAGAAGTGTGATAGAAGAAACAGTTAGCATAGAACTTACGGTTACATCTAGCTATTTCATCCCTAAAATGATGAAACCCGTCAATCTAGTACTGCGATTAAATTCGTAAATGTTATGGTATGGTTCCTTGTACCACGGTGATAGTCCAAGGTAGAACCAATAAAGAAGAACACGAATACGGATATGGAATAACACAGATATATTACAAACAGTAATATATACAGAGAGCTAGAAAAATGTTAGTACGAACAATCAGGTTTAGTAGTAATTGTCTGAACGCGACTCTGTTTCGGACTGCCTCTGACTCGACTGACTGATTGACAGACTTCTGACGGACTTCACTCCAGACTTCAGAGTGAACTCCCTGCTTCCTCTTGAGGCGCAGTATTTATTACGTATGGAATAGTCCATTATGTTATTATGGGTAAGGTCCCATAACAGTAAATTTGATGTGTTAACGAGGAAAGGTTATCAGAACAATTGCCATAAAATTATTTATAAAGCCATTGGGAAGCTAGGTGACAGCGCTGGGAAATGATTGAAGCCGAGATGCCAGGTCAGGATTGATAACATTACAGACACTTCTTTGGATATTTTAATGTCTGAATACATAGCAGAAGCGATATTTCCATTGAGTCTAGGTCTGAATTTCCTAGGCTTAGGGATTGTATACACAATTACTATAACACAATACCAAAGATTTGTTTTTATTTGATCATCAACGATAGTCTCGAGATGACTCTGATGTAAAAATACAAATACGAATAATGAGGATAATAACTGTAATTATTATAGATTTCTGTATTGATAACCTTTAGTATCTTTTGCTGTTTTTATACCATCGTGTTTGTAAGTCTATTCTATTTTCTTCTTTTTTTCCCCTTATCCGATCATGTTTAATACTTGGGAGACCAGCGAAAAGGAGCGAATCTCAGGAGGCAATTTCTCATTATTCGCCAGAAGAGCACCTAATTGTTTTTGGCGCTTGCTCTTTCAGCTTTAATTTATGAATGACATAAGCGCTATCACAAAACTGCCAGTCGTTGAAGCCTTTAAGCAAAAAATAAATTGCAAAACCGCGTCTGTTCGGACTCGTCTTACACGTTTTATCACCAAAGTGTTAAGGTTAATAAATAAGGGTAGACATATTATTTGTGTTTTTTATCTTCATTCTAGGATAGCTGATGATGGTCGGTAAGTTACTGCTTCATATGAGAGGATTTTCGTTCTATTTAATACACACACACATACATATGCACGCACGCACACACACGCATATATATATATATATATGAACATAAAAGTGAACATTGAAGTCAACATTCAGAGGCGATAGTCTGTTTCACGCTAGACGCAATCGCCAGTGTTCACTTTTATATTTACATACGCTCTATCTCTGATATTGAGCACTTTATTCCATAATATAGCACACCTTAAAACTATATTTCTTCATATATATATATATATATATATATATATATTATGTAAATATGTATCTATATATATGTACAAATATATATATATATATGCACATATATATATATGCGCATTTATATATATTTACATATACATATATTTATTAAAGACATTTTTATGTTTAACGTTCTTTTTTATAGATACAAGTATTTAAGTAAATGCTCTGTTTATAATAAACAGTAAAATAACATTTACCAGCCTGAATGTCCGAGAAATTTTCAGAAAAATATTCGTCCTTTGACAGGATTTTCTATGAAAATTTCTCGAATTCAAGCCGGTAAATGTTATTTAATACTGTTTATTATAAACAGAGCATTTACTTAAATACTTGTATCTAAAAAAGAACGTTAAACATAAAAAATGTCTTTAATAAATAAATTGTCGGACTTTTGTCCATTTCTTAATATATACATATATGTATACATCTATATATATATATATATATATATATATATATATATATATATATATACACACACATATATATATATATATATATATATATATAATATATATATATATATATATATATATATATATATATATATATATATATTATAAGAGCTGGCCCTCGTATTCGAGTTTACCCGTTTACTAAGGTGGCCAGCCAATCCCTATTGCAGACTCTCGCTCAAGCACATTTGTGTTTCTTCAGCACCCACAGAGCCCACCTGTGGTTAACACTGCAACTATGCTGAGCAGACCTTAGTTACAGTTTCTGGGAGAGAGCATGATATCTAGAATTGTCAACAGTCTTAACAACACCAGCATACTCAAATCGTCGGTCACGATAACTTGTGACTTTGTACTAGCACAGCTATCGACGGCCCTAAGGGTCCCGTCTATCCAATTTCACTCCAAAGGCTTGGGTCAAGCCGTGGTATGGTTTTCAGGTATTTTTCAATGGTACCGCACGCTGGGAATGTCCCGCTACGGGCCGATAACAACAAGTCTCCTTCCTGACATACATATATACATGGATATATACATACATACATATGCATATGTATTTATATATATACATATATATATATATATATATAGATACATATGCATATATATATATATATATATATATAATTTTCGATTTAAATGTTGTATATCAGAATCGAAGTTTTGAATAAACTATCCGAACTTCATGTTCATTCTGTTCTACTTTCGACTGTCTCAGTCATTATCAAGAACTATGTGTTGCCAGTGTGGTAGGCAAGAGTCCGTTGGCTACAGTATTTTATAATATGTTGTGTGCAAAAAATATGTAATATGCGCAATAAGAAAGACTAAGCATAATATTTGATGCATTGTTCCTCAGTGTCGTCTCGCTCCCTTTAACCGTTACACTTGATGTCACCTTGAACTGATTCAAGCTTTCAGCCCTCGATAAACATTAATTTGAAGATTAGTATATCTTAATTCAAGCTGCGTAGAACAAGATAGATAGATAGATAGATAGATAGATAGATAGATAGATTAAAACAGTCATAGATAGATAGATAGATGAACAAACTGTCATAGATAGATAGATAGATAGATAGATAGATAGATAGATAGATAAACACAGTCATAGATAGATAGATAGATGAACAAACTGTCATAGATAGATAGATAGATAGATAGATAGATAGAACAAACTCTCATAGATAGATAGATAGATAGATAGATAGATAGATAGATAGATAGATAGATAGATAGATAAACACAGTCATAGATAGATAGATAGATGAACAAACTGTCATAGATAGATAGATAGATGAACACAGTCATAGATAGATAGATAGATAGATAGATAGATGAACAAACTGTCATAGATAGATAGATAGATAGATAGATAGATAGATAGATAGATAGATAGATGAACAAACTCACATAGATAGATAGATAGATAGATAGATAGATAGATAGATAGATGAACACAGTCATAGATAGATAGATAGATGAACAAACTCTCATAGATAGATAGATAGATAGATAGATAGATAGATAGATAGATAGATGAACACAGTCATAGATAGATAGATAGATGAACAAACTCTCATAGATAGATAGATAGATAGATAGATAGATAGATGAACACAGTCATAGATAGATAGATAGATAGATAGATAGATAGATAGATGAACACAGTCATAGATAGATAGATAGATGAACAAACTGTCATAGATAGATAGATAGATAGATAGATAGATAGATAGATAGATAGATAACAAACTCTCATAGATAGATAGATAGATAGATAGATGAACACAGTCATAGATAGATAGATAGATGAACAAACTGTCATAGATAGATAGATAGATAGATAGATAGATGAACAAACTCTCATAGATAGATAGATAGATCCCGCCGTTTGGGTTAGGAATATTGTTTCGTATTAATTTAAGATGAATCTAGAAGAATCAAAATATTTAGAATTCTGGATTTTACCACAAATCTCCAAAACAAACACCGATGACGATTACCTATTATTTCAGCCAACAAGTAGGTCTCGAGATAGAACAATCGATATTTGATAAGCACCTGCTGAAGGTCAAGCGACAACAATTTTCTTTAAATCTCTAACATTTATTCTTGCCTGTTTCAACAGATCCGTTGTTTGAATCATTCCAGTTGATTCGTATTTCGAATCATTTCAGCCCCTTTGTTAGTGTCATCGGTTACAGTCGTCGTTTTTTCAATGATTACTCGTCTGATCACAGCAATCATATTCCAAAATTGCCACAACGCTTGAATAAGGTTTTCCTCGATATTCATTTGCTTACTGTCACATGGATTCCTGCTAGAACAGCCACTTCAACTGACAAGTTTTACTCAAGGACACATGGCACAGTGGATAAAGGCGTTAGTTAGATCCAGTGATAGGACCCAAAGAGTGCAAGTTCAATACCCGGTTAAGGTAGTGGAGAACCTGGAGACGGGAATTAACAGGAGATAATTGACAACTGACATCCATTAAAAACGTGGCATGTGGAACTGGAACTGACTACCCCAGTGAGCGAAATAAAGGATTCAGTTCAGCCACCTGAAGAAGGCCGGAGCGTACAACGGCTGAAACGTTGTAATAAATATGTCGACAAAGATGAGGACAATAGTCCGAATAATGTAAATAGTGTACATAATGCCTCATCGCAGAACTATGGACAGATACTGAAATAATGTCATATATGCAATAGTTTTAGCAGCTACTGAAAAAAATTAATGCCAAGACAAATAAAGGATTAAACACTCGACAAAAAGGGCCCACTTAGAAAGAAACATTAAAGCTTGAAATTGAAGAAATTATGGGTGGAATTTCATTTACTTTATTTGATACTAGCAGTAGAGCCCGGCGTTGCCCGGCGATGTAACAGTAAGAGATAGATCAAGTATCGACCATCATAAAGACTGAAAAATAAAATTGACAAAGATTATTGTTTAAGGTTGACGGACACGCATGTCTTAATTAGTGGTTTTTTTTTTGGTTTTTTTTACGAATTAGTCAAACCAAAACTCAAACAAAAACATTGTTTTCAATCGTTATGAGTCTATCGATTGAATAGAATTTTATTATAAACAATTGTCTTGTAAATGGAATTTTAAAGCATTCTGAATGTAAAAATAAAGAAAAAAGTGTGCAAGACAATAAGAAACACTACCTGCCAAAAAAAGTGAAGTTTTGTTGAAATCGGTTAAAAAATGTAGGAAATCCGATCCCATGTATAAATGAACACACACACAAAAAAAATGGGTTTTATAATAAGTATAACTCGATATAAGTTGTCCCCCTTTCATTCTGGCGACAGAATCGTGTTTTATCGTGTTTTCAAATTGATTTCATGCAAAAACAATTGTGTTTTTCCAATTTTGGCGCTGTCAGAACCACCGCAAGCTAATTTTACGCAGTCCTGTGAAGTTTTGTTGAAATCGGTTGAAAAATGTAGGAAATCCGATCCAATATATGAACGCACAGACACACACACACACACACATACACACACACAATCGGCGTTTTATAATAAGTAAGAGTTCTGCTTGATCTTCTTGCATTTCCGTATTAAAACATTTGAATTTCTTGAAATCCTTATCTAGTATCGATAATTCACATCTAATTTCATTTTGGGAGAATATTTGGAGCAACCCAAAGGAATATAATCCCAGTGCGGAATGGATGAAACGAGAACAAAAAAGAATGAAGGATAAATCTGAACAAGAATGGAAAAAATAGAACCAAGAATAATGTTAGGCAAGTTCTAAGAAAATCCCAAAATGGAAGTCCTTAGGAAATGATAAGGTATCATCTGTCATCAATCCATAAAAATCTTGCGCAAACTTTAACAATGCAAGTTAATAACCCAAACGAAATTCTAGAATGAATCACAGAAGGTATTACATATCTCCTACTAAAACTGGGTGAAAAAGATGATCCCCTAAATTATAGCCATGTCTGCCCAGCACATATAAACTGATTAAATCTGTTCTGACAAACTGTACTTACTCTTTTCTCGATGAAAACAACATTCTTCTCCTGGATTAGAAAATGTGTCGAAAGTTTCATATGCTTGTAAAGATCAACTATTAAAAAATAAAAGGAAAATTGCAGGAAAAATGTCAGAAATCTTAGCAGAGCTTGGATAGATTACCATAAAGCCTTTGAATAATGTGCCGCACGCTTGGATCCTTAAGGCTTTGGAAATGTACAAATTATCCTCGGTGATAGTAAATTTCTTTAAATATAGTATGGAATTGTGAAAACACACATTATATCTAAATCAGACCAAAGGTACATCCGCTTCCAATTGTTTGAATATCCGACGCGGAACCTTTGAAGGAGACTCCCTGTCTCCCCTTCTGTTCTGTCTGCTCTTAATCCCCCTTCAGCATGAACTAAACAGTAATAACTATGGATCCAAAATAAAAAAAAGAAAGTATTTAATCATCTATTCTACATGGATGATGATAAACTCTTTGCCAAAGACAACAGTGGGTTGAAGGGTATCCTCAATACTGTACATTTTTTTCCAGTGATGATATCGGGAGAATTACAGAAACACACTCAAAAGATTTAGATTTTGTCACAAAGGTTAGGGAACTGGAACAAGAAGAAGCCTATAAATACCTATGTCAGCGAAGGAGATGGAATACAGAATACCCAAATGAATATGAAAGTTTTAGTTGTACGCTCCGGCCTTCTTCAGGTGGTTGGAATGTCGAACTGAACCCTTTATTTCGCTCACTCGGGTAGACTGTTCTAGTTCCACGTAATGTTTACGTTTATAAACCAACTCAGTCCGTATGTTTTTTGTGTTTCATAACTCAACATCGCCTAGTCTTTTTCGTAATATAGTATGCTCAAATAAATATGCGAAAATGTGAGTAATTAAATAAGGTTTGAGAATTTCAGTTTGTATAACAACAAACTACTCTGGTTAAAGGTTAACTGAAAAACTAATTATTGCGAAATAAATCGAGAGCATTTATAAAGGAGAAATCGGCTCCAAAAAGGCTAAAAGTTACATTTTATTAAACTTATAAATTTATTATTTTCTGGACTGAGCCTTCAAAATTTCAAAGGCCTCTACGCGCTTACAATTAACATCTCTGATTGGTTAATACAGGCGAATGTGTAATTTACATCCAAGTCGAAAAATTGCACAAGAATAAGGTAATTTTGAGTTTAAGTAATATAACTCAAATCTATTGCATCTTTCTACAATTCTGTAACAGGGTCCCACCACACACATACTAAATCACTTAAAGCATTATTATTATTAAAGGCTCAGTATTTTGTGTTTTATATTTCACACTGTGCAGTTTTATTTTATTACGTGTAGGTTTTCTGTGCAGATAGATAGATAGATAGATAGATAGATAGATAGATAGATAGATAGATAGATAGATAGATAGATAGATGTGCGTGTGTGGATAATGTATTCATATATTATCCACACGCATGTGGATAAGAAAAGCTGAACGCTCCCCTCTAAGCTTTAAAATGTTTATGTTTCCTAAAAATATTAACAACCGAGAAAACTTTTCATATGAAGCCCTTCATGCCCCAAATTTATATTTGTTTTAAAAATATTTTTGATTAAAAATTAGATTAATTTTTTTTTATTTAACTTTGTTCTGTCCTCGGCATTTAAAAACTTGAAACTTTATTAATTAAGGCAATAGAAATCAAATTAGAATATTAGTCGCTTATATCATAAAAAAATAATATATAAAACAATGACAGCAAAGTGAGATTGGTTTAGTATATCTTTCTTATTTTTCAAAAACTTTTCTAATAGCAGTAATCCATAAACATTTTCAGCATCTTGCACGACATTTACTACCAAATCATTTCCAAAAGAGTTCTAGAGCCTCTTCAATACCTTTTCCCAAGGACAAAAGGTTGTTGAAATTAGATAAAGATTGACTTGAAGAGGTTATGTTTAGAGTGATCGGAGAATCAAACTCTACGGAATCAGTTCCATAAAGTAGCGGCTCTTGGAAAGAAGCCGCACGAATGGAATTTCTTCCTTTCGAATGGAATACGAAGAGAATGGGGATGATTTGACTCTGTTTACGTTGTATTTCGGGTCTTAGCAGAAAAGGTCTGAACTTGTAAAACGACGAAATGTAAGGAAAGTAATGTCCGAAAAAAAATTAGGCAGACATTTGTAGCAATGTCTCTAATACAAGGGGGCGTTTAAATATTCCCCAAAAAGCCTTTGCAAAACAAATTCTGAGATTCGGTTATTTGATCAGATTTTGCAAAGTTGTTGGACTGGGAACTTTTCAACATCTCACACATAAAAGAATTTGGAGAAACTGCAGAAGCTGCTCGTAGAATATATGTTGTTTAGTGACAATGAATTGGCTAAACAGGGTATAGCAAAAACAACAAAAAGACACATTTATAATTTATTAAGAGCTAGAAAGGTTAGATCATTGAGGAGAGCCATGATTGCCAACGGCCTGAAAGGACACGACAGAGAGAAGAAGAAGAAGAAGGGCTAATAATTCTTCTTCCTCAAGAAGAATAATTAGTGGCTGTTCTGCTGACTTTTGCTTCAGGAAATTTTCAACTGGAAATGAGAATCTCGAAAACGCGCTTTGTAAAGAAAGGTCGTAAGCGTTGGCGATGACAATTGAGGACTTGTGCTGAGTTTAATCCGCTTCAAACCTGTCAAAATTTAACATTAACGTTTAGCACAAGCAATGAAACTATATTTTCAATATTTAGATTGTTCGGGCTGTTGTCTTCATCTTTATTGCCACATTCACGATGTTTCAGCCGTTGTACGTTCCCGTCTTCTTCAGGTGATATTTATTGGAATTTCGTACTGAACACTTTATTTAGTCTACAGGGGTAGAATACGTCGTGAATATAGCAATAAAGATGAAGACAACAGCCCGAACAATGGAAATACTATAAATAGTTATAATGCTTCATCTCAGAAATATAGACAGACTATGAAACTGTGATATGTCTGTATCTTCATAGACTCGAGAAAAAATATATGCATTAGCGAAACAGGCCGCCTATGGACCCAATCAAAAAAAAAGGCAGCATCAAATAACTCAGATAATTTTTAGGGTCACCTAATAAGGAAAAGTTTTTTATCATTTCACCCCAAGCAAGGCAATAAAGCCACTAAAACGTTATGGGTTACTGGTTGCGAGAGAATAATACATTGATTTTATTGTATTTTTTGCGTTTAGGAAAAAAATTCTAGAGAAATTCGAACATGCAGCAATTCTCATAGACAATTAAAAATGACTTGTAGTTGTTTATAGTTTAGGTTTTATATATATATAGTTATATTTAGTTTAGGTTTTATATATATTTAGTTATATTTAGTTTAGGCTTTATATATATTTAGTTATATTTAGTTTAGGTTTTATATATATTTAGTTATATTTAGTTTAGGTTTTATATATATTTAGTTATATTTAGTTTAGGTTTTATATATATTAGGTTGGTGCAAAAATAATGACGTAATAATGTCGTTTTTTGACGTATTTTTTTAACGTCAAAAAACGACATTATTACGTCATTATTTTTGCACCAACCTAATATTTAGTTATATTTATTTAGGTTTTATATTTAAGCAATAACTTTGTAAAGCAGTTCAGATAGCAAAAGGCAGAGCCAATAAGGTCACGTGTGTAATTTCTCAGCCTGCACTATGTCATGTTTTTTGTTGATGAAGTGCTTCAAGCGACGCATATCGAGCTTGAGTCTTATCCGTTTACTGATATTGTCTCTGTTGTTGTTGTTGTCGTTTTTAATATATTTAAGGTAAATAAATAAATAAATACATGTGGTAAACTTACACCTTTATTTAAAATAGCAGCGTCTTTAATCATTTGATTCTGGTGCATTGAAAGAACGATCATGTATGTAAGCTGCTGGGAAAATTTTCATATCCACTGTTTTCAATCTCTTTATGTCGTTGCAAAGTTTACCTTCTTTACGCCAATATCATTTTCTATTGAAATTAAATAGCGCATCAAAATCTTCCAACCAATCACCGAGGCAAAACTATTAACAAGTAAAACAAAAACAAAAACCTCATTTTTATTTTTATTTTTAATTTAATAGTTAACTCGATTTTTTTTCAATAACAGTTTAATTTAACCATCGAATCTACGCCATGTTTCTTTATTTCGACGGTTTTTTTTTTAACAACTACGCATTTTTTTAGTTCAATATGACGCCCATAAAAGTAATTAGATACGCTTTATTGAAGCTGTCGCCTTTTATGTTTTAAAAATAACGATCGATCGCGAAGTGTCTCAGCAAAACGTTCTGTTTAATTGATATTTTTATAGCTCGAACGTAATCCATTTTTAATTACACTGCTTCGATGATTGGCTTTTGTCGCTTCATTTATAATCTAATATTTGAACAATGATAGTAATATCAGTGGATATTTTATTCGTAAGAATTTTTTTCCTTTTTTTTATTTATTTTTTTATTTATTTATTTTTTATTTTTGTATTTATTTATTTTTTTGCTGATTTCGATGAGGCCTTATCAAATTGTTTCATGTTAATTTCGCTGGTGTTCGTCCATTATTGTCAGAGACAATATCTCGTCCTTTTATTCTTTTCCAGATAAAGATCAACAACTGCATTTGTTTCTTTGTTATTTCGGTCGATAAACACAAATTCGTTTTTAAGTCAAGAAAGCGCTCATCTTCATTCCCTTCTCTTTTTATTTTTTTCATTTTTAAGATAAGCTTCTTGATAGAAAAAGAAAATTCTTTTTTCTCTTACTCTTAAGAGATAATTTTGACCGCTCTATATTCCTTGAGTTTTACGGAAAAGGTGCATCGTTATTCGTAATCAATAAATTCGTGATTGATTTTGTTCAATACTCAATGCGCAAATAATCGGGTAGATAATCTTTCAGCTCAGATTTCAAAAATTTTGTTCTTGTCAGACAGACAACACGTGGAATGGGATAACTTGTTGGGTTACCATATATATAATGCTAGGCGACCATAGCGGTATCTGGCCGTCGAAAGCAAATAATTTTCTAAAATTTATAATTATGAATAAATAAATACGGGTAGGGCTAAGTCGAAGAACGAAAATGAAATTTTTATTTTCTACAAAGAGATCCCGCTAACAAAGTATAGAAATCTGTTACATGCCTTCTCTCTTATTCTGAAAAGGAAAACTATTGAATGTTACAAAAGACTGTCTTTACTCACAACTCCAACATGTCATGTCGAAAAGGTTACTTCTACTCCAAGAACCTATGGCATATCTTCGTTTAGCGGTGTCTACCAAAAGACTGCATCTCCGCTGATTAGCTACATTTTTTTTCTCATTTCCTTTCTGTGGCGTGTTTATCGATGTATAACAAAGTATATTCTAATATTTGTAGAATTGAAGGTAAGAGGATTTGGCCTCATTCTCTGATTTGAAGTTGAAATTTTGCAATTTTTAGTGAAGCTGATTTAACACTGGAAAAATATCGTAGTTGTACCATGCCATTTTTAGCTTCAAGCCGCAATCATGGAAGACCCATTATACAATAAATTTACTTGCTTAAGTTATTCATGCCATGAAACAAGAAAATATAAAACTTATATCAAATGTATCCAATGGCGTAATAAAAACGTATTATAGTATTAAATAAAAACCACAAAACCATGAAAATCTAACGAAGTATTTATTAAACTTTAGCTTCGTTTTAAATGTGTTTATGTCTGTAATGACAAAAATACGCAGGTGTAGGCTTTAAGAAATCTTTATTCAACTGAGAATACTAGGTTCGCGTATAGTGTCCTTTTATAGTCCCAGTAAACAGAAATAGCTCTCTCAAGAGGAGAATAACAAAACAAGGGGAGGCCACTTTTGATTATTCATAACAATGGTATACTATTATTTAATGAATCTGCTTTGATTTTTATTCTTTATTCATAAAATTGAAACTACAAACATAAAGAAATATGTGTTTTTAATCATTTTACCCCAAGTAAGACAATAAACCACTAAGACGCAATGAGTGTTAGATACTCTGAGAAAAAATACTATTAAGGAAACAGAACAATAAACGAACAACAATTAAGACAACAGAAGATAACGATTGACATTGCATTTAATATTTTGAAGATCAAATTTGACTGAGAAGCAAGAAGCCGAAAGAAATCCACACGCGAGAAGTGCGATAGAAGAAACTGTTAGCATTGAGTTTATGGTCACTTTTAGCCATTTCAACTGTAAAATGTTGAGACCTTGCCACCAATTTACAACTGCGCTTAAATTCATAAAGTCTAGGTACGAAAGAGAAAAGCACAGTAGAACAATTACTATGAAAGTATGTATAGAAAAAGCACAGGGAAACTACATAACGACAATGGGAAAGTGACCGAAGTCGGGGTGCCAGGTGAGGACCAATAACATTGCAGATTCTTCTTTGGATTTTATCTATAAATATATAGCAACTGACCATATGTGGCAGCACCATTCAAAGCATGGACGAA